AAACTCATTTACCTTTCACTGTGGGCATTTCCCAGCCTTCACGTAACTATATTCCGGCCGGTGAAATGAGAGTAGAAGTGTGGTATGCCATATCTAGGCCTGGCCATGGAAAACTGCCCTCCTGCTCATGAATTTTCTCTATCTCCTTATGTACTAGCTGGATGCAGAGGATTCTGAGAGCTCAGAAGTGATGGAGCCACAAGACGGAAAGGAGCAGAAGGTCACCTCTGACTACACTCTTGAAACTATTCTGTAAGCAAGAAATTGACTCCTACTGTTGTAAGTGACCAAAATTTGAAGTTGTTTGTATGGCAGTTTGTCTACCCTACCAAAGCATGCATCCAAACAGCCTCCAAGACTCTATGACACACAGTATGCACAGGATGGTGTGGGTCTACCAGAACATGGCATGTAACCTGGGCTGGGGCTGGATATTATAGAAGGCTCCTCAGACAAACAAACACTTAAGATGGATCTCAAACATTATGAGATAGTGAGAAAGGAAATAGAAGGTAGAGGAGGAGAATGCAAATGCAGAGTCGTGAAACTCTGAGGGAATGTGGTCCACTGGGAATGTGTTAGTGGTTCCTGACCACTAGCATGCAGAGTGATGCTAAGAAATGGAGCTGCTCAATATGTATGTGTTGAAATGACTGAACCTAGGAGACATAGTTCCTACTAGAAATAATGGATAAGGGAAGAAAAAGGTAATCAAGGACATTGAACTTAAAAAGCAAATAGATGACATCCTTTTCACAGAGATAGAAGATGGAGGAGAAAGAAATGAAAGCATGTGTTCAGTGGAACACCCAAAAGAAGAATCAGCAGGTAGTTGGATGTAAGAGTCTGGAGCCCAGTCAGTGGTAAGGATAGGAGAGGTGGTTGAAGCCACAAGCATGAGGGGATTGCCAGGAAGAATATTCTGAATGACAAGCCAGAGAAAGTGGGGTAGGGGTGGGGACTGGGTGTGCAGAGAGAGAATATGAGAAAGAAGTCACAGAAGCCAAAGAGAAGAGATATTGAAAAAGCAGTCAGTAATGACAAATGCTGCAGAGAGATAAAGTAATATGATAGCCTGATAATGTGCACTATATCTGACAACTGGTCAACTACTTGTGACCTTAACAAGTTCCATTTCAGTGCTGGCAAAAGCCAGGTTAAAATGGTCTGCAGAGTGAATGACAGATGAAGAATTAGGGATGGGAATATAAAATATTCGTAAGGAAAATTGACTCAGAGAAACAATTAGCTAGAAGTGGACAAAGAGGCAGAGTTTGTTTCATTTGGTTTTAATTTTTCAGGATACAAGACTTAAACACATAAGTATGTTGAATTCTCTGAACTTTACATCCCTACCCATAAAATAAGGATAATAATGCCCCTTCTGTTTGGTCTTGGGTTGTTTTCAGAACAAATAAGATGACATATGTGAAAGATTCTAATCTAAGTACTATATTAAGGGCAAGGTTATTACGTATTTATAAATGTTGAAAATATGGAGTTATAAAAGTCAAGAGTCCAGTAAAATATGAGTGGCTATAAAATCAAGGTAAAAGTATAATCGGTTTTGATCTAGAAATATTCAGAAAAATGTCTTCTTAATACACACTATGAGTTGCTGACCCCAAATCTGAGAGGCTAATAACAGATGTCTAAGTCCTATGCTGGACAACATTCTTCTGGGGCTCCCAGGTTACAGCCTGGGTTTCCAAACATCTTCATTACACCACAGAGAAAAAAAAAAGCCAATTAACCCTGGCAGACTGCAGTGCATTAAGTCATCTGGGGATTTATTAGTCTTATGAGTAGTAGTTCTTAAATAAATATTTCTGGCAGTCACCCAGTTTCACAAAGCAAAAGACTAGCTCCATAATTTAGGTCTCATGACCAGTGAAGTCATGGGGAATGGCCACAGCTTGCTGAGTATGTTATTCTAAAGGCTGATGGGGGTATTCTGGGAAGGGAGCTAGCCATCTTTAGGACTTCTCCCCCTGGGGCAGATTAACCATCCAGAAGAATATGGTCCCATCATTATTTCACTAGCCACTCAATCTTTAAAGACTCTAAAAAGAACGTTATTTTTAGCACTGTGACATGAGTAGAACTAGTTTTTCTCTCAAAAAACTTCTAACAAGTGGTCTTAACATGGTCAATCTTCTTCCCTGGGAAGCCATCTTAACCTGCATGAAAGAAAAATGTCACTTTCCATTTTTCTCTGCACTTTCAGACAACTCCCTCTGACTTGGTTCCTAGTTGCTAATGTATCCTCCTCAGTTACTTTATTTTCAAGGATATAGGGTGCTGATTAAGGTCAAGCAGCTGTGTTTCCACCTTCAAGTAGTAATTGTGCAGAATAAACTTTCCTTTACAATAGATACTAAAGATCTAATCTTAGCACCCAAATAAACCCTACTGCAATTATTTTTATATATTTTTTTATCTGACAGAAACCAGGCTACAATGCTAAAATGGTGCTTCTTTTATCCACATTTCTCAAACATTTTGTCCTTGATGTGTGACACCACCATATGCAGCTATTCAAGAAGGCCAAATGTCTGCAGGTCAAGTTTTAGAGCTTCCATTCACTGCAATGCCAAATGCCACACTAACACTAAGGGCCAAGGAAGCAATTTCCAAATTACCTCAATCAGAACCATGAAGAAAAAGATGAAACTTATGTTGCCCTCAAATAATACCACCAAACATTTATATGGACCTTTATAGATAAACAAATATCTTTCAAAAGTTAACCTCACTTATTAACTTTTCGAAGTTTTTACTCTTCATCATCACTAAATAACAGAAGAGAATGCTGAGGCCCAGGGAGTTTAAGAACACTTCCCAAGGCTACCCAATTGTTTGAGAGCTGAACCAGGTCTATATCCAAGGTTCTCTGCTTCCTCAGCTCTTTCCGCCACACTGTAGATGGCCCCCATCACGTTACCCAGTTTATTTTTATTTCCCTTCCCTGGCAGCAATGGAAAGAGACTGGCTTTCACCAAAGTCATTAAGAATCTTTGATGGTATTAGGCAGCATGATTCTCTTTCTCAGGATTGTTGTTGCTATGCAGGGCCTTTTGTGGTTTCATGTAAATTTTTGAAATATTTGTTCTATTTCTGTGAAATATGTCATTGGAATCTTGATAGGAATTGTGTTGAATCTACATTGCTTTGGGTAGTGTGGACATTTTAATGATGTTAGTTCTTCCTATCCATGAACATAGTATGTGCTTCTACTTATTTGTACATCAAACTATACTAAGGTCATAGTAATCAAAACAGCATAGTAGTGGCATAAATACAGACACATAGATCAATGGAACAGAATACAGAGACCAGAAATAAACTGACACCTTTATAGTCAATTAATATTCAACAGAGAAAGCAAGCACTTACAATGGGCTAAAGATAGTTTATTTAATAAATGGTGTTGGGAAAATTGGACAGGTACATGTAGAAAAATGAAACTAGATCACCTTCTTACATCACACATAAGAATAAATTCAAAATGGATTAAAGACTTAAATGTTAGGTCTAAAACCATAAAAATCCTAGAAGAAAGTATAGGCAGCAAAATCTTGGACACAGCTGGTAGCAACATTTTATCAGATATAACTCCCCAGGCAAGGGAAACAAAAGAAAAAAATAAACAAATAGGACTACATCAAACTAAAAAGTTTTTGAACATCAAAAGAAAACATCAAAATAAAACACAAAAAATAAAAAGACAATCCACAGAATGGGATAACATATTCACCAATACATCTGATAAAGGGTTAATAGTCAAAATTTATAAAGAACTTACAAAACTCAACACCAAGAAAAAAAACCCACCCAATTAAAAAATGGGCAAAGGACCTGAACTTTGGTCCTTTTCCAAAGGACTTTTCCAAAGAGGACATACAGATGGCCAATAAGCATATGAAAAGATGCTCAGTGTCACTAATGTCAGAAAAATGCACATTAAAACCACAATGAGATACTATCTCACACCTAGTCAGAATGGCTATCATCAGTAAATTTTAAAAAAAACAAGTGCTGACAAGGATGTGGAGAAAGGAGAACCCTTTTGAAATGCTGGTGGGAATGCAGTCTTGTGCAGCCACTGTGAAAAGCAGTATGGAGATACCTCAAAAAATAAAAAATGGATTTGTCTTTTGATCCAGCAATCCCACTTCTGGGAATATATCCAAAGGAACCCAAAACACTCATTCGAAAGAACATAAGCACCCCTATGTACATTGCAGCATTATTTACAATTGCCAAGATAGGGATACAGCCCAAGTGTCCATCAGTAGGTGAGTGTATAAAACAACTCTGGGACAGTTACACAATAGAATACTACTCAGCTATAAAAAAGAAGAAAATTTTACCCTTTGTGACAGTATGGATGGACCTAGAGAACATTATGCTAAGTGAAAAAGACAGAGAAAGACAAATACCATATGATTTCACATATATGTGGAATCTAATGAACAAACTAAACTAATAAGCAAAATAGAGACAGACTCATAGATGGAGAACAGGATGACGGCTAAGGAGTGGGGAGGATAGGGGTGGAGGGATTGAGCAAAAAGGAAAAAGACCTCATGGACATAGACAACAGTGTGGTGATTGTGGGGGTTGGGAATAAGAGGACTAAATTGTTATGTAAAAATACAATAAAAATACATTAATTAATTAAAAAATCTTTAATGAGACACAGACATGAATTCAGTTCTCCCACTAATGAAAATATATAATACATTGGTTAAATAAGGAATGTTATGGTATCATCATGGATGTGGAAAGGTTTTTAAAGAATGCACCAAGAATGCTTGGAATCCTGAAAAGGCCAAAGAAGATATTACAAACAAATGACCAAATATGGAATGGAGAAACATTTCATGAGCAATCAGTTCTTTTTTTCATTGAAATGGTTTGTTTTCATTTTATAAGGGTTTTGCTTTCATGAAAAACCCTGGTTTTTTAAAGTATTTCAAAGTAACATCATGACTTACCTGTAGATGGAGAAGGAAGCCACTGATCGAATGAGGGATGCCAAAGCCCCCACTTTGGCAGCTTCCACTGCACCCCGGACTCGGTATTCCACCGTCTTGGAATAGTTGACGTACGGCTGGTTATAAACAACAATCTTCCCTTTGGCTTCTGGGGCCCTTCTCTGCAGTTCATCGAAAGAGGTCACCACCAGCACTTCTGCCGTAATACCTAGAAATCAAAGTCATCCAAGATTAACTTACAGTTTCTGATCAGCCAGGTGGAATTGGCACGTGAAAGTTCACATATGCTCTACCTGCTACATCTGGAAAACTGGTTGGAGTAGATCAAAGTTTTATAGCTGTTTGCCATGGGAGAAAGATTGTGGGGGTTAGCCAGTTTCCCAAGAGAGAGAAAAGGCATTTGAAATAATATAACATATGACTCAAAAGGTTTTTCAGCACACTTGACCAGCTGGTATTAAATCACAAATGGCTTGAAAAGATAGTGTTTTTTTTTCCTTCTTTCCCACCCTAAGAAGTCACAAGTTTCACGGAATGATACTACTTATTCATAAAGAAAATGCCTTGGGATTAATGAAACACATTTATCTTTTCACAAAACTATTTTGATATGTTGGTATACAACCTTCACTGATATTCTACAAAGAAGAGCCATTCATGAAGAATGATCTTAGAAGCCAGTGATCTTCATTCACTTTTAAGAAATAGCCGATGTAACCTCTCCCCAAACCCAGAAAATGTCCTCTTGTTTTCTTGCCTCCCTTGTACAAAACATTCTCAAAGGAGGTGGAAATTTCCCATGCTGCTCAGTTTACAGTACTTGTTCACACCAAACACATTGCTAATCTTCAGCTCAGATTTTTGAGGATGCTGTATAATTGTCCTAGTACCCTCTCGTCTCACTTGAAGAGACATACTATCCTTCCTCATACCACAAATCTTGCTCAGATCTTTCTCATTAGGGAACAAGGTCTCACAGGTTCTGAGAAGTCATTCAGGCACTGCCAGACCACTGAAGATCCAATTTTATGGAGCAGTTAGACTAATAACAACAAAATTTAGCAACAAAGGCCAGATGCAGTGGCTAAATATAACTGTCTAAAAGAAAGTGGCAGGCGCCTACTGTTTTGTGGCTTTAGACACACAGTCATGAAATATGTCAGTAAAAACCAAAGTAGCAATATAGATTTGGCATCTTTCCTTAATCTTACAAACTAGAGAACTGGGTTTCTCTGGAAGCTGAACAGATGTCATTAAAATATTAACTGTTACTTGGAAAATCCTTTTAAAATGCACTGTAGTTATAAGGGAAGTCTTGCTTTCACTATAAACTCCATCATAATGGGCCCTTCAAGCTGGCTCCTCTCCGACTCTAATTCCACCAGCCAGACTGAATTTGTACTTTCACTTTAAAGCGACTGACTATAGATCTATAAGCATGGCTCCTCCAACATTCAGAACTCAGAATTTAATTTATAACCTAAAGAAAAAGCAATGTACAATTACGGAAGGTAAAGAAGCCACTAGCTTTCTCACATGATATATATGTATAAAAATACAAATAAGAGTTCAGCTAGACAGACTTTGGGAATCATAACTTTCTGAAATCTCGAGTTACCTTGCAACTTGACTGGCATTATTATTGGCACAGTATGAGAATTTTGTTGATGGTTTTCAGCTGTTCCTAATGAAAAACAGATTCAGTGTTTTACCTAAGGGATGTCCAAGCAATGGGGTAATTTTGGCATCTGGATTGGAGCCCCTAGAAATAAAGCCAAATTTCTATAAATTTTCATAGGCCACTGCAAAATTAAAGTCATACAAGGGTGGTACTTCTCTATGGTCTGTGCTCCAAGTTTTTTTTAACAAAAGAGAGAGTGACAGAGTGCTGAAGAGCCAAAACCTAACCGAGACACTATGGTTGCCAATGCAAATTACTAGTAATAGATATAGGTCAAAACCTATCACCATGAACTTCCCTATCAAATTAATCTGTTTTCCTGAAAGTTTGGAATCATCTCTCATTCTTTTGTCTCCTTCATCTTCCATGTCTAGTCAATCCTGAAACACTCATAATTTTACCTCTTATATATTGATTGAACCCAGGTCCCCTGTTCCAGCCAATTATACATTCTCACATCAGGCCCTTATTATCTCTCTATTGAATTGCTATGAATCTCTCCTTCCCCATCACACTGGTGCCCTAGCCTGCAGCCCAGGTCCCTCAAATTAAGCCTTAAGAGAGTTGCCGGTGTGAACTACGAACTGCCGAGAAGTCGAATGAGCCTGTATCACCATGCCCTTGCCCCTCTTCCATCTACGGACCAGTCAAAGACTAGCTATCTCTGCAGACACAGGATCCCTTTGCTTTCAAATTCCATCAGTAGTAAACTTAAAAGTTCCCCCTCACCATGCAAGTTCACTTCAGTGTCCTTGTTCACAGTGTGGTACATTATGTCCCATTGACCCTATTCTCCCATTTTCCCAACTTCATCATGTGACAGATGCCTATTAATTCCTCAGGGTGCCATCACTCCTTTAGGGAACATTCCATGGCCTCTGGCCTCCTGTCTCACCCCTCACCCCCTCCCTTCACCCCAGGGAAGGCTGGCTCATGCACCACCTTGCTCTGGACTTTGAGAGTGTCCTAGGCACACCTGGGCATTGGACAGTGAAACTCTGCCTATTTATGACTCTCTCAACCACCCAAACTGTGATCTCCTCTGAGCTTGGGGCCATGTTCATTTTTCTTTGAACCTCCTGGGCCTAACACAGTGCTTGGTGTATGTGTAGCAGTTAGTCAGTAAATACCCCCTTGGATGGCACTGTTTCCAATAAGGGACCATCGACTGGAACTGTGGCACTTCCACAAAAGTGCAACTTTACCTTCTGAGTTGGATAGCGCTTGGCACACAACAACTCAGAAGTCTCGTTCTCCCACCAACACAAGCACAACTGCACAGCAACAGCCAAGCACAAAGGGCCCTGGGAAAGTCAGAGCAGAAATACAAATTTCAAGTATGAAAACTCAGAAAGCTCTTTTTCTCTCTCTTAGAACCTAGTTACCCTTACTTTACATAAAATTCTCAATCTATGTGTAAGCTGATAAACTATGAGAAACAATAAATCAAAAGGAAGAGAGAGGTGTGGAAGCTGATAGCAATACTACAAGAAAACAGCATGCAAAATAACAGATACGAATAGAATTTTATGCAACATTGAAAAAGTTCTATCTCTGTGATAACACAGTAGCCATTAGATACACCCGTAGCTATTGAAAACTTCAAGTGTGACCAATGTGATCAGAAACTGAATACTTAACATCATTTGTTGGAATTAACTTATATTCAGATTTAGCTATGTGGGGGGGGGGGGGGGCTACTGTGTAGAACTCCCAATCACCGCAGGCTCAGCCATTATGTCGGCAAACAGCTGAGAGCGCCCCTGCCCGCCCGAAGGCTTTGCTTCTGGCAGTGCCACACGGATGTGCCAGCCACGGAGATGACCTCCTGCAGAGGTCGCAGGCCGGGTGGACTGTATTCAGCATACTTCATTTGAAAAAGCAGGGTGGGTACAAACACTTAAGGAAGCTTTTTGCTCCAACTGAATCAAATAAAACCAGGCCATCTGGAAAACGTCACTCTTCAATGTTAGTTTGTGTTTTGACATGTTGCACAAAGGAAATCCTCATGCTCTCCTACAAGTCCGCAGGCTCCTCTTCTTCCCTCTGCTCTCGTCTCCCTCCTTTCCATTCTCTCATTCTAAAAAATAGTGCACGAGAACCTCTGGGAACTCAAAACCAGTGTCACAGTCACACTAAGGCCTGCCCAGGCCTCGCTGTTTGCGACTGAAAACCACTCCCAACCTTCATCCCTCTTACCTTGCTTAATTTTCCCCTAGAATTTATCTGCTTCCAGCTGCATCCACTACACGAGTGTTAGTTAGCTCCATGGGGGGTAGAAATGTTTGTCTTTTTTACTCATTAATGTTACCAAAATGCCTGAAATGGTGCTTGACACATAATGTATAAAATTCACACACATACTCATAGGCACAAATACACACATGCACACATATATACTGAGTGAAATAAAAAAATAAAAATAAATTGTAAAAAAATAAAGCAAAAATATAAAAGTGTAATAATACCCCTCCTCTGGTCACCCTCCAAAAATGTATACTTCCAAGGAAATTGTGTATTTCTGTATATTCTATCAGAATAATTAATGATAATGAAAATAATAACAGCTATATTTGAGTAGCTATTATTTACAGTAATGTTCACAGCGACTCTGCAAATTAGTTATTAGAAGGAAACTGAATAAGTGTACACAACTACTAGGTGTCAAAGCCCATATGTGAGTTATTGGCTTTCTGATTCCAAGGGTCATGCCCCTCCCACTAACTGCATTGCTATTTTTTTCCCCAAACATGTAAAATATGTCAAAAGAAAATATGGATATTTTTATTTTTTAAGAGGATCAACACAGCAAAATAGACATACAAAATTCTGCCTAAGTTATCAGCTTCTTTTTTCTTAGTCTCTCAGGATCCTGCTCCTAAGTCAAGCTGCCGTTATCACACCTGGTCCCGATCTATTAACAGGGGCGGGCTAGGGCTGCTGCAGTCCAGGACAAGAGCCCTCAGACTCTGTTACAGTAAGGAAAAGGATTATGGTGGTTAATTCTGAAGAAAATGTGGGGCTGACACTAAAAAACAATTCATATTATAAAGTGACTCTCTTGACTACAGCTGATTATCATAAAAATAGCATAAAAATTCTCAGGTTCCTTTTTATTCTCCCCACCTAATTTTTTAAATTGATCCATTTATATGTAAGCACCTTACCCAGTGCACCACTACTGCGGCAGGCTCCTTGCAGACACAGCAGACCCTGACTGCCCTGGTATTGGCCCAAGTCATTTGTTTTATGGAGAATCTGATAAAGTGATTCCAATTGCAGCCTTTTCTGACATGGCGCCTCCCAAGAACAGTTAAGAGTAGGAAGATCGTGAAGTGAGAATTTTATGTTTTCTGCTATTAAAAGGAAGAGACTACAGACAGAAAAACGTGTCTCCGGGGCTCACTTCACTGTGGTGTGTTTTAGGAAATTGACTCTGATTTCAGAAGACTTAACCCCAAACAGGAAACACTTCGGGCCCACCCAAAAGGAAGCAGAGCTTCTTACACTTATCACATAAAATTATC